TTTCATATCTTACATCATCAATCCATCTTGAGATTAACGAAATCACATCAAAATTAATTATTTTCGTATCACATTTTCCATGATACCTAGGTGTCGCATAAAAATTTTCAGGAGGTTTGCTATCAACATCCAAAAAGTATTTTAATAAATCCTCATAAAGTTTGGGTTGAATTAATTTTTTATAAGGATGAACTTGTTCCAAAAATTCTTTAGGAGATAAACAGAAAAATCTAATATGAGGCAAGACATTTTTCAAAGTGAGTTCCATCAATCTGAATTCTTCGTCCGTCCAATTTGAAGGGTCTTGCATCAACGTAGGATTTCTCTTGAGACCCCATTTTAATAGAGATGACCAAATATCAATTTCTTCCATTTGTAAATCATTTTTTTGCAATAATGACATTAATGTTTTTTCGTCAAGAGAAGTAAAATCCAATGATTTGAAAATTCTTTCGGGATAAGATGACATTAAATTTATGCAATACTGTTGTAATACCATGAAACCATTGGATTTCAAACTAGTACTATGAACCAACTCAAAATTTTGATCAATCCATTCGGACTTTTCCTCGATCAAATATTTTTGTAAGGAATCCACCAATTCTTGTAAACGAAATTTTTCTGCCACGAGTAATATTTTCATAATATCCGATACGGTATCATAATCATCTAATGAAATGAATCCGCCATAAATATATCTTCGTAACAAGTATATGAAGAAAAAGAGTTTTAAAACATTAAACATTTTTTTTTATTATTATTTTTGTTTTAAAAATTAATGACAATAAAAATCAATTGTTACTAACTTTAAAATGATTTGAAAAATTTCGGGCGAAATATTTGAAAATTTCATATGAAATGAGTTATCACCATCGTTTTTAGATAAGTTCCGTTTGAAATATGGAGAACGATAACTCAAAATAATGGCATGCGCACGAAAATTTTTTATGTAAATTCCTTCTTCAACCTCGAATATAACATCACTATATTCATCATCTTCTAACATTTCGATAAGATTTTGACTTAACTTTGAAAAATATTGTTTAGGCATGATATAAAATATTTTTGTTGGAACAAAATAAAAACGAGGGAATTCGTTACATTTGGTTGCCTTTTATGCAAATATGACGAAATAAAACGATTTAACTAAATTTGGTTAGGTTAAGTCTGTTGCGATTTACTGAACAATGTGATTGGTTGAAAAATCCATCATGATATCAATTCAATCCAACGAACTAAACCTAAACTTATATTTATGTAAATACGCTGGAAAGAACTATTAGCATTATTTGAATTTTTTTCTTAAAAAAAATTAAAGAACTGAAAAATATTTATTTATTGATTGTGCACGAGCATTTTTGCTAGCTACTCTGGGGAAGATTATAATTTGAATGGTCGATATAAACCCAAATTTCAGGTTTCGAGATTATATTTTGTATTTTATACGGATCAAATCATAAAATATTTACAAATTATATGAACTTCACATTGTGTACCAATTGATAAAAAATATTAAACGAAACTACGAACTATTATAAATTGTAAAATAATATACTCCTAAGCTGCAAACCTAAATTTAAAATCAATAAAAATGATAATTACTATATTTCTGTTTTGACAATATTTTGATTTAAATTTATCTGCAAAATCAAGCAATCGACTTGTATAATATGCTTGTTAATAAGTTTGAGTAAATTTTGGTTGTTCCTATAAATAAAACGTTTCTATGAAACGAGTAAAGAAATCAAAAGGGTTACAAATATACGATATTAAAGCCGCGATGGATCAATGAGAGTGACTATGGTGACTATGCCATACGATTTACTCTTTTCAAAAATCCATATATTTTACGTATAAACAAATTACGCGTTCTTCGTATTGTGAGTAAGCTTATTATTAAATAATTTATTCAGTGCATTTCAAACGGTGGATGTATAAAAGAGTACTTATAAACTAAAGCGTAGAATATCGTTCAAAAGATTACCGTTATAATAGAATCGTTTTTATATTTTGCATGATAATAACGTGATATTATAACAAAACCGCCCAATTATTTAATTATTCAAAGTGAAAGCACACTGATGCATTTATTATATTAAAAATGTTCTTTCTAAATATATTAGTTTATTGCGAGATTATGTGATTTATTAAAAACTTATCCAAAATTTTCGTATTTGGTTAAATATGTGCTAAATATTAATCAAATTGTATTTTTTGGATGGTATTTGATATTCTGAATCATGAATCTCTTGTATCGTCACTTCGACCAGCATAAAGAAATACACTTTTCTAAAAACATCCACATGAGTTAACGCATCGCATGTATCACAAATAATAAATAAAATTTTATAAATTTAACCTTTGTTTTTATAATCCCTTTAAAATAATTTTAAAATTTTTCCTGGATTTTACAATGTCTGATAATGATAAAGGTAAACTAAAAGAAGGTAGGTAATAAATCTATACTTTGATATGATAAAGAAAATATTCTAAAAATTTAACTAAAAAATACATTTGTAACTCATTAAATGCTTTTTAATTTATCCTCTAAAAAATTTTAAATATGGTATCATAGATGATTCTTTTATCTTAATTGTTATCAATAAGCTTTCTGATAACTACATAATAATAAGGCAATTTCTTTATGATGAAAAAATTTTTTTCTTCATATATCATCAAGCTATTTCTAATTAATCAAAAACCTCTAGGCAATTATCTTACTTTTTAATTCGAATTTCTTCATAAGTCTGGATTACCAAGAATCTTGTTTTTTCACCAAAACTTAAGTAATTTCATTGGTGCTAATTCAAATTAACAATTATTTTAAAATAGGTTGCGTTTAAATATTCTTATAGAATGTTACTAGAAGGTTAAAAAATAGGCCGCTGGTAATACTGCATGAAAATTTAGTTTATGTATGGTTTACACTGTGTCATCACTTATGAGAAGCTTAACGCAATAATTGAAAATGACACTTTATATATTTTGTGTAGGAATTAATATCAAAGGCGCCGATGAACAAACATAAAATCTCAATAATAGTTTAAGTTTCGTCAGCAGCGTTACGGTAATAGATTTGCATTTCTAAATAAGATTTCCGCGATTAGCTACATATAGCGTTGTAGTGTTGAAAGAATGGAAACTGTAAAAACTCCTTCACTTTCGATTTCATAGGTATTTTAACCAAAAAAAAGTGATGATTTATTTTTATTCTTACTTATTCATCATAGTTTATATTGCACTATTATCTTAGATACGTACCGCCATTGTGATTCGCAAAGCTCTAAATCAAAAGTCAATTAATCTTTTATTAATTATAACAATTTATTTAAATCATGTGTATTTGATTTTTGCATTTAAAAGTAAATGAATTTTACGGACTGGATATTCCACTTAGGTTCATACGCCTTTCATAAAATAATTCATGCTTTAAAAAAAAATAATAACTCTCTATATTGCCAGAAAAAAAAGCACAACTTACTTTCTTGACCGCTAATACGCCAAATCTATATCCTTTTTTATCTTTCTCAACATCGATTTCAAAAATTATCTTGAATATTTTTATCATTTAGGATTTTTTTTTTTTTCGTTGATATCCAAGATTATCATCTCTGACAAAATTATTTAGTTTGGCGCAAGAAGTACGCAAAAAATTTAGCAATACAGATATCCCGCAACATTTACACCAAAAAAAAAAATCATTTATCAAGATGATGCTCACCGCTATCGAGGATATATTGCTTTCAATAGTAAAAAATCTACTAGTATTAATTGTCAATTCGTTGCAGAATTAAAATTAGGTTCAAATCTAACGCGTCTGATCTGCAACTCAAGTAAAATTTATTTTATATCAGTATAAAAAAAATTTATTTATTTGTTTCAATCAGTGCAAAAAAAAAAGGAAAATAATATACTAATATAATAATTTCCTATCTTAATTATTTAATGTAATGTTTTTTCGATAAATTTAGTTAAAAGCATGTAAATTTTTTAATTTTCACTTGATTTCTTTATCGGTTTCGATCGTCCATCGAATATAATTATTTGCTTCGATTTTTATTTATTTGCCTTCTTTACTGGCATTGTGAAAATAAAAGTACAGAATTATAAACGTATAATAATATTAATTCGATTGTCAATGAATATCGGATTTTCGGAACTTAAAAATTACTTTTCTTTAGCATTCACCACAAAAAAATTTAATTTTAATTTTTAGAGCATGTCATAAAAAAAAAAAAAAAAAAAAAGTGTATAATTTTGAAATATAGAAGTTCCAGTTTTCGAATATAATCTGAACGATCAAAAAAAAAAAAAAAAATAAGAAAAAAAAAAAGAAAAGAAACATGGTTCAATAAAAATGTCGATTTTATTATATTAACTAAAGGTTTCTAAACCAATCAAAAGTTGATAAAATTTATTTAAAGTATGGTAAAAATTATAAATATGTACAGTGCTGCGATTATATTTTTTAGAGACTACAACAAATGCAATCTTTGCAGTTATTTCTAAAAAATTAGAGTAATCAATTAAATTAAGGATGTAATTTGAACGAAAGTTAATGAAATTGAAGTTTCAAAAAGTTACTTGATATATTAAAATTCTAATCAAGCTTTTAATTTTATGGCTTTGTTCCTTAATCATTCTAAATAAGAACTTAATGCTCTCAGTTCTTATGTTCTTAAGCAAAATGCAGAAGGTTAGGATATGAAGGTAGGATGTGAGATTACAATACGGCCTCATGTCGGCACTCTGTACTTTCATGCAATATTAAGAAAAGAGTTCCTTTCCTAAATTCAAACGCCTATCATGAATACCATCGTTACACAGAAAATATCCAGAAACTTGTGTGATGATGCTTAATCTTTATTATAATTGGTTTATTAGTTCAGAGTTAGTTCCTATTATGATGATTGATGAATTATAAATAGGACAAGAATACATCGTTGTATAAAAAAAAAAAAAAGAAATAATAAATATGTTTCATCAACCTAATTCCAATCTTATACATTATTACGATTTCTATGGCGTATAATGACTTTCATATCAGCGCAATTATTGGTCCCAAAATATTTAATATTCGGTTTCTTTGAGACCTTATCAACCAACTCAATATCATACTTTCTATATAATAAAATTAACAAAGTTTTCAATTCTACCAGAGCCATATTTTTCCCCGGACAAATTCTTATTCCTCCTCCGAAAGGAATGAAACTATTCTTGGCAATTTTATGGTCAGATCCTTTTAAAAATCTTTCTGGAATAAATTCATCAGGATCTTTCCAAATATCAGGTGTTTTTTGAATTCGTTCATGATTAATTAAGAAAGTTGTATCTCTCTCAAAATTCTTTCCATCAAGATCACCATCTTTTGCATTTCTACGTTGTGTAAGTGGTACAATTGGAATGATTCGTTGAGACTCTTTAATAATGGCGTCAAGGTATGTGAATTTATCTAAATCTTCATAGGTAATCTGTAGTTTCGTGTCATCTCCTAGGATCTCTTTAATTTCTTCTTGAAATCTTGCAATAACTTTAGGATGATGAGCCAAGAACCAAATTAAGTAGCAGAATGTATTTGCGGTCTAATGATGAAAAGGATCAGATAAAATAATTTACGGAAAATTTTACCCAATGATGATAATATCAACTTACTGTTTCTATACCGGCTATGCTGACTTCCATGAGGGTAGCACAAACTTCTGGATCACTCAATGGTGCTTCACCTTCATCATATCCATTCGGATCACGTGGAGTGTTTAACGTCAATAGTACATCTATCAAATCTGAACCCACCTCATCATCATTCTCAATTTCCGTTCTTCTTTTCTTAACTATATCGGTAATAGTCTCATTTATCCAATCCAAATTCTTTGAGAATTTCTTATTCATATTATAGAATCCCGGAAAGTAATTTTTAAGAACGTTAGGAATAAATAATTCAAATATCAAGCCTTTTATAAAAATTTGAACCGCATTAACGAATTTAACTGATTTTTGAATTTCTTTGGATTTGATTGGATCAACGTGTTCTTCACCGAACAAGCTTGAATTAGGACAACATGAAGGTCTACGTGTAATGGTTTGTAAGGTCATGTCTGTTGTAAAATTTCTTATCCATCTAGCGAAATCAATGTGAATTTCTTTCTCATTCCAGAATCTTTCATTTTCATTAAAGAATGATTGTGAAAGTTTAGTGAATTGTCTAAGGAATCTAGGTGACATTAACGAATGTACAACGAATTTCCTATTTCGTTTCCAGGTCGAATAATTATTATTAAATATTAAACCATGCTGTAATCCAATCTTTTCCAAATATTGAAGATCCATTCTTGCAAAGAATATATTATTTGCGTTTGGAGCATAGACTTTTTCCATTAATGAGGGATGTGAGATAATTACAAATCGTGTGCTTCCAACCCAAACTTCAAACATGTCACCGAATTCATCATGATGATCCATGGAATATTTTGCTGGATTTAATCCAATTTGAAATAAATTACCAACTAACGGGAGCGGGAATGGACCAGGAAGAGGTGATTGACGGGTAAAATATTTATAATAGAATCTTGCCACATATGTTATTATTAATAATTGGATAATCAATATCAAATTTGTCGTTATTTCTGATGTGAGCGATATGAGCGACATCGTGGAATTATTTATTTCTATTTTTTTTTGAAAAAGTGTGGTGTGGTGCAAATGAAGAAAAGAGAATGAATATTTATAAGAGAAAATGAAAGGGAATTGATTTATCTATGAATTATTCATAACAAGATTGACCCGTAACATAAAATATATATGTTGATTTGCATGAGATTTTTGGGTTTATTAATTTACCTGATTGACTGGTATAATTGATATTAGTTAGGTTAGGGTTATGGTTAGGGAAGGGTTAGAGGTTCACAACGCGATGTATTGATTATTATTTTAGTAATCCCGATTAAAATTGTTTACTCGATATAGTTAGAGATCTACACGAGTTGCGTAGGCCAGGCCAAAACGACCTCTAGTCAACTTGTAATCTGTTCAAGTTGTCCTTTTGATTTTAAGGTATAAAAAGGTGGGATTGATACCTGTGTACGAATAGAAAAGTTTTGAATGACAATTTCTATATAATATAGAAATACCTTAGATAGTTTTTTATTTAGCCGTAGTAATTTCACCAGATCGACATTTTAATAAAATTGAATTGATTAATTTTTATTAACGTTAAAATAATTTTTGCATAATATTACATTATTAAAAAACCTTCTGCTGCATATTACATTCGTTTATAAATATAAACATCAAAGAACTGAGCGACAACAGTGGTGATGAATTAGTGGACCCGTAATTTTTAAGCATAAAAATAATTAAACACAACCAATTAACTTTAAAAAAAAATTGAATTAATAAAACATTGGTTCGATTTAATTAATAACTATGATTCGTACCAAAAATTTCAAAAACTAATATTCTTCCTTTTTTAATTTTGAAATACAGATATTTTTTCTTGGAATTTAAATTCATAACATTATCAAGAATATATTTATTATTTAAACGTCTGGTTTAGTTATATTTTATTATTTAAACGTCTTGTTTAGTAACCTTTGAATAAATTAAATATATATATTATACATATATATAATTTTTTTTATTATTATGGATGTAATAAATCTCGGATTTATTAACTATTGCGTTAATTTCCGAAATGAGCATTTCGGACTCCCCAAATCGGAATGCGCATTTGGGATATCCCAAAGGCGAAGATCGTTGCTTCCCCCAAATGCGCATTTATCCCAAATGACCACTTATGATATATCACAAATGACTACTTCAGACGTTCACGAATTGTAACTTCGAAAAAAACATATAGGAAATTAACATTATATGTCAAAAGTTTAATTACTAATTAAGATGCGATAATTAGGTCGAAGTGATAGTTTGGGTGAAGAGGATATCCGAAATGAGCATTTGGGATAATTTCCGGATATTCCAAATGCGCATTTTAATTTGGGATGTCCTTAATGCACATTTAACGCATTGCATTTCGGGTCAACAAAGCCAATCAAAATATCAAAAAGAATAATAATATTATTATTTTTTATTTTTACTTTTTTTATTGCGAAATTATATGTTGTAAATGGTATTTTGACATGACAATAAATTTTTGAATCAAAGAATTGCACTTCATGCAAATTGTTTAGTGTCCATAAAATTAAAAATTAAAATCGAAATTATGTTTAAATCCTCGTTAAAAAAATCAAAATAAAAGTTTCCTTATTAAATTAAAAATCCTTTACAAAATAATTTATATGAGCAAATTCAACCATCCGGGGTCGAATAATGAATTAATCCATGTTTTTTTCCAATTTCACGAGTTTCATATATTCAAACACATAATATATTGAACATCTTCAAAAAAAATTATCACAGGGCTAGATTTTCAGTTTGGGGCTGGACAAATGTATCATTTCTTGTAAGTTAAATTTTTATTTTAAATTGAATTTGAAAGATATTAATATTATGGTGAAAATATTTTGATATCAATTTTATTTTTTCTAGTCCAATAGGCATACAAGTTGCAGCAAGTTTAAATGTAGAAAAGAACTAGTAATAATGTTACTTATAAAATTTTTACAATTAACACCATTTTTAATATTGTCGTTTTATATTACCTAATTAATAGAAATTGCGAGAAATGTAAAGAAATAATGCCAGTGAATAGAATTATTAAGTTTAATAATAATTGCGCGATACTTGTGAGAATAAAAAATATAAAGAATTATAAACCATATGAATAAATAGTCCGATAACATAATTTTTTAAGTTACTATTTAAATAATCAATGTTCATTACATCAAATTTGTTTCATCTTCACTTTCATATTTCACAGCAATACATTAATTCGTTTGTGAATAAATCTTATTTATAAATGAAATTAAAATTTGTTAAAAAAAATAAAAAATTAATGATTCGTAAAAAAAAAAAAAAAAAAAAAAAAAATGAAATTATTTTGATTTTGATTGATATTATTTTTTAATACATTAAATAATTCAGATTTATATATTTTTTTCCATAAATCACAAAAACCACCAATACAGTGGCTTATAGGTTCTGATGTCACGTGTAATTTATTTACAAAAAACGTTAAAATTTGCTTCCATTAACGAAAAGAATTGAATATTGAGGAATAAATAAGCCAATACAAATACAGTCGACCCTCTCTATAATCACACCTTATATAATCACACCCTCTTTATAAGCACACTATATTTTAGTTCCGATTTTTTTAAAATAT